AAGGGAAAATGAAATCAAACGGAAATTAATTATTTACAATTTGTTTATGAATAGTGTTTTTATTGATTGAATTAATAATAAATATTTTTAAATAACTGGTAATAATTTAATTCATAACTAATATTTTTAAGTGTGCGGGAAACGAAATGAAGGTGAAATTTGATTATTAAAATTTTCTGTAATTATACTTTTATTTTTTATAAGTGATTAAATTTAGAATAAATACACATTTAATTAATTGGTTAAATATTTTAATTTGTAACTATTACTATTAAATAATTTAAGTAATTAATTGTATAGTGAAAAATATTTTAGTTATTATTTATTTATTTTTAAATTTTTCACCGACGGATTAGAAACAGAATTGTAGTAATGGAAATTTTTCATTGACAACAAATATTCCTTGTCGCAAAAAGCAAACTCTATTGAATCACAAATACATTGTTGCAAGAAATATAAGTTTGTCGTCATAAGTTTCCCATCAAAAAATATTTTGACGCCTTACTTCCCTCATGTTTTGGCGACGGTCTTTATTATAAGTCGCGACTTCTTACATGCCACAACAACTTTTTGTGTTGTCTTATATTTTTTTTATACCTATTTCTTTCACCACAATTATCTTGACAATCTTTAAAAATGTGTCGCGCTAATCACTTATGACGATAACTTTTTGTATGTCATAACGTCATAATTTTGTTGTAGTGGATTTTATTGAAGCAGTCGAGAATGTAGAAAAGATATTGGAATTCTTTCGAAAAATTCATTTGACCTAACGAGGTAACATATTTTTGTGCAAGCGGTTCATTTAGTTATGTTTTTATATTCAGTAAATATGCATAAATTGTCGGTGGACCTTCAGGTTCATTATAAAGAGATATGAAATCCTTTGAGAATTTAAGATAAAGTAAGATGACTGTGTCGCTTGATCATCGATATACTTCATAAGAGAAGAGTGGTAGAAGTTTCTATTTTATTGTTATATAATTGTCTATGGAAACTGTACGTATCTTATTGTTGGGTATTTTTAATACTCACTCTTAAAAAATTTTACGGGTTAGCTCAGGTCGATTGGATTTGTGGCAAGATGGTGATGCGGGTTGCCAAGAGGATTTGAAAAAATAAAATTTCTAGGTTTTCTATCTTTAATTAATTAATTAGTTTCATTTATATTCAAGTTTATGTTTATCTAAATAGTAGTTGAGTACATTTATTTCAGATTTTAGTTTAAGTTCATGGATAACCCATATTTTTATTAGGTAAATTATTTTAGACTATACATATTTACGTTTTAGCTCTAATTTTCTAGTAATGTATAAAGAAGAAGATATGTATGATAAATAAAATATTTTTATGAGATTTATGAGTTAAAGGACAATTTGGCAATGTTTTAACACATGTCATGATATGAAAAATTATTGGCAAGCGACGCTCACTATTCGACCACTCTCCGATGGATCCAAGGTATGAAATGAAATGTCATTCTTTTAAAATATTATAAGTTTCTTGTTTCATATTATGTATTATTATATGTATGTCAAAGTCAAGTATTCATAACATTTCAACTTACTAAAGTAATTTCGAGAACAAAATTCTTTTAAAAAGGGGAGATTGTAACGTCCCAAAAATTTTATAGAATAAAATTTATTTGTTCTATATTTTATATTCTAATATCTTGAAAAGTTAAAAGATTAAAGTGAAATATGTTTTAAATTCTTTTTATTTTGACCAAATAATTAAATATGGATAGAGCGAGATTTAGTATATCAATATTGAACTCTTTTTGAAGCTTATAATTAACTATAAGTTTTCGACTTGAGAAAAAGTTAATTTGAATAAGTTCTAGTCAATATATTGACGTTTATAAAAGTTATCATTATTAGTAATAAATTCACCCCCCACACACATACACGGCATATAGTAGAGAGAGAAAGAGAGAGAAAATATTTTTGAAAAGCCAGTCAGGATTTTATTGATGCAACCAGAAAGTAGAAAAGATATTGAAATTATTTCAAAAAATCCGCTTGATCTAACGAGATAAGATACTTTTGTGCAAGTGTTTCATTTCTTTATGCTTTTATATTTAGTAAATATACATGAATTGTTAGTTGACTTCGGGTTCTTTATAAAGAGATATGAAATCCTTTAGGAATTTAATATGATCTAAGATGGGTGTGTCGCTTGGTCACTGATATACTATATAAGAGAAGAGTGGTATGAATCATCTATTTTATTGTTATATAGTTGTGTATGAAAATTACATGTATCTTATTGAGTATTTTTAAATACTCACTCTTACAAAATTTTAAAGGTTAGTTCGGGTCGATTGGATTTGTGGTAGGATGGTGATGTAGGCTACCAAAATGATTTGAAAAAATAAAATTTCTAGATTTTCTATCTATAATTGATTAGTTAGTTTCATTTATGTTCAAGTATATGTTCAATTAAATAGTAGTGAGTACGTTTATTTCAAACAATAAAATTCTAATGTTTAGTTTAAGTTCATTGATAACCCATATTTTTATTAAATAAATTATTTTTATTGTTCCACATTTCCTACTACATATAAAAGAGCCAGTTTTCTGGCACTGTTCATTTTTTCATCAACCAACACGACGTCGTTTGGAGGAGTGTAAAATTGTCCTAATTGCTCTCATTCACGGTAATGAACCTTCCACCTCCAGGTCTCCATGCCTTTTTCTTCTTCTCTCCGTTTCCTTAACCCTTTCCTTTTCATTAACGGTTTTCTGTACTCTCTTGATTCCTATTCGATTCTTCCAAATTCTTAACCCAAATCTCGTACCATCAGGCTCTTCTTCTCCAGTCCCTAGATTTCTCTGGCTTAAGCTATTGCTCCTTTGTCCGCCACTGCCTCCGCCGTCGACACCTGAAAGGTATGTTCTTTCTACCTTAAATTCCATATCGGTCGGAAACCGTGGGGAACGGAGACACGATGGTGTCTCCATTTAGGACAGACTTTCCCAATAACCAAACGCTCCCAATTTATAAATTTGCTTCAAACTCCCAAAATCAGTGAAAATATGAAATTTGGCAGCAAAATGTCTGTCCCCTATTCTCAAAATTTGTGTTGTACATTTCAATCACCCTTTCTAATTTTTTCCATTTTTAATTAGATCTGCTCTCAGACTTCTCCAGTCCAATTCATTATATATACACCATACCAATTTTTTTCTTTCCACAATCATAAAGCCCTCAATTTACAAGTGTAATCTAAAAGTAAAATTGTAATAGAGTAAGGAAACAGAGTGTTTCTTTGCTGGGTTTGCTATGGCTGATGCGTTGTCTGTGATTCCAATGGTAGTTCTCCGTACCTCTCCGATAAGATGTATGAAAAGCACAAAAATGCGGCTCTCGAGGTCTTGATTATACATATATGTATTTGTTTGTAATTTTTTTTTTAATGGTTTTGTGGAGTAATTTTCTGATTTTTGTGTAATTATTCAGTTTTTTGGGTTGGTGGGTTCTAGGTGGAAGGGATAGTGAAGCAATTAGCGGTGGCAGGAGATCACGATAAAATTACTGCGGTGATCAATTTGTTGACCAACGAGTTTACCTACTCGGCTGAGGCAAATCATCGCAAAGTAAGCTTTCATTTTAGTTCGGTTTACTTAATTGACATTGAAAATGAGGTTTTATTCAATAAACGTTTTAGTTGAAAATTCTGAATCTTCCCTTCCTTTTCATCTGCAAGTTTACATTTCATTCCCCAACCCTCAATTTTCCTTCCCAAAATCGTCTGTCAATTGGTGGAGCTTCAGGTGGATTCTCTCCTCTATCTTGAATTTTGATAAGGGTGATCAATTCCATTCCTTTATTTCATAGTCCAAAATTTCATGACCTTGTTCACGCCGATTCACACTGATTTCCGATCCTCTGCAACAAATTCAAATCGTCGCCTCAAATCTTAACAAATATAAGATACCATAATTATTAAGCCCCTCTAGGGACCAACCCACTTTAATCCTGTTTTGCCAACTAATTTTGGGCACCCACTTTATTCCAGGTACCTGCTACTCTACAAAACCTCTTTTTTTTTTAGTCTTGCTTATTGTACCTATTTTGGGAATTTTGATAAGATTCACCACGCCTTACTCCGGTGTGTCATCTGTATTGAGATTGCATCGTGGGAGTTTTGCTGTCTTCGAAAGATTTGAAACCAAATTCCTCCTGACTTTTTCCAAATAAATAATCAGGTATGAATTTTTATTGTATTTTGGTTTTAAGTTAATCTTTTATACTGTCTTGCTGTACTTTTGTTAAATTGAATACACTTTACTCAATTTCTAATATTAGTTTATGTTATCATCGTTCTGCTGATATTTTTTTCAGGGGTTTGAATCTTTTTTTGTTATACAGTAGTAGCTGGGTATGTGCTGGTTTTATTGAAACTTATCCGATTATAGATATCCAAATTATTCTCTTTTAGGAAACGAATGTTCGGCGTTTGTTAATTCCTATGACTGCTTTCATGATTTTACTAAAAAAAAATTTGAACTTTAAATGTTCGGATAGAATTTAGTTGGGTTTTGATAATCATTTTCCTTTAAATTCTAATATGATTTTGTTGGGAATGCTGTGGTTTTGAATTTTCTTTTTTATCAAGAACCAGAGCTGGATACTCGAGAGCTGACCAATTCTATGCATCTTATCCAGCTGGGATAAAGCTTCTCACCAACATTGAAGCAGTTAGTTGAAGTTGAGCCCTGCAACTTAGCCCGAGATTAAATCCCGGGTCAAACCAGGGGCGCCACCCTGCTACTTGGCCCGGGATTTAGTCTTTTTCGTCGAAGTTTAACATAATTCGTATTTTTCGCATGAGTTACATCAGTTAATCAATTTTGTTTAAAATTTAACTAATTGAGATTTTGACTTCTTGTAGTTGTATAAAGCTGTGCTTTCGAACAAGAGGAATGGGGACCGATTGAATGGTGCAATATGGCAAAGCATTTTGAACGCCAAGGGAAGTCACCATATGCATATCATGCAGTAAGTTGATGAGATGTTTATTGATAACATACATGTACCATTTTTTCTATGTGCATCTTATGCTGAATTTTCTTTGATAGGTGAGCAGATTTGGTTTTCTTGATATTATAGTTATTTTCTTCCTATTTGCTGTAATAGTATCCATTTGTTTTACTCTAATAGTGTTAGTTGATTATGTCATGTCGTAGTTTGGATGGATTGTAGATGCTATGTGAATATATGATAATATAGTGTTAGCTGATTATCTCATTTCGTAGTTAGATTGTAGATGCTATAAATTATATGACGTTTTAACTCGTACATTAGAATTTGCGAAAAGTTTGGTCATGTTTGTTGTATAAACTCTACTGATCTCACACCAAGAGAGGTCTCCTATTATCGACATGGTCCATTGGGCCATACTGGTTTGGTGAGTTTACATGATGTTATTGGTTTAGTTCTTAAGGTCACTGATTGATTTGGAATATAGAACATTTAGAACTCAAAGTTACTACGTATTTGGGATAAATTATAATTTGAAGTCAAATTTAAACATTGATTATATCTACACATTCACACCTAATGCCAACTTATTATCCACACATTTCGTGGGACCGAATATCCTTTTCGTTATAATCCCATTATAATTTCTCCCAAACAAGCACTTAATCCAGTATACAATTATTCAGCAGTTTCATTTACTGTAAAGTCTTCTATAGTATTAGTTTTAGGCTGAAACTGTAGTTAACTTTTATGTTCTTGTTTGATATGCTTTGCAAGTAGCCAGTCACTAAAATATCAAGTTGTGAACTCTTACCAATTTCTGTATATTGCCAGTTTAGAGTAAGATCTAAAGAAATTTTAATATTCTTCAGGACAATTCAGGAGCTCTTTTGTCAACTGTGCCAGTTTTCTTTAGGAATTTAGATCTTTTAAGGGGGGATTGTAGCTAGGGGCTGGGAAGATGGGTTTGACAATTGGCTACAAGATGCATCTAATAGTCTGTTTTAGCTGCATTCCTTGCTGCATTCTAAGTAGTTATCCTTCTTAATATGTATATCATTATACTGGGCATGTTGAACAATTAAAGCTTGAATGATCTTATTGTAACGTCAAATTCCACAGAATCATTAATGTCTCTTATTTGGTTTCCCTATTAATATATAAACATTTCTAATATTGAACGGATAATTTTTATGTGATATTGAAGTACAGGATTTTATAGTGCAAGGTGGGGATCTAATTGGGACTGGCAGGGGTGGCGAATCAATTTATGGGTATTTATTTTTGTTTTGTAAAATGTATTTTCTAATTTTTTAGTGTGCCTTGCACTTGGTTCTTTTCAAATTAATGTTTTCTAGTGCTTCCCAATACTTCTCAATTTTGTAGGAGTTTTATAGATCACCCTTTTATGGTTTTTAGGAATTTTTAATGAGATATATGTGAATTTCTTAGTATTGCATTCTTCATCTGGAAAAAGTTCCCTCTTTCCCTGATTACTGCCTTCATTGCTAAAACTTCTGCTTTTGATAAAGGAAATAACTTTTTCATTGTGGTGGTTTGTTGATTTTCTGTTATTCCCAAGACAAGCTGTTTGAAGTTGAATGGTGATATCATGAATGTTCTGTTGTCTTTGCACTGTTGATATTAACTCACAAAGTTGTGAAATAGTGTGATAGTGTTAGAAACTATTCTGTTTACTTTATTTTATTTGGTTCTTATTATGAAGCTTATACATGTTAAGCATTGTCTCCATTTTGTAAAATTTGGTCACATTACAATCACAGTTCTAGAGTTACAAGTATGGAGAATCATGTTATCTCCTTTATGTAAAATTTGATATGAAGAAAAGCTTTACCTAGCCAACCAATTGTCCACTGTTAAATGTACATCTGTGGATTTGAATAGTAGGAGTATTACTGCAAGATAATTTCATTTTTCTTGGTAGCATTGTATTAAAAAAAAATTCGTAGGGAGACATACGAAGGCATGGAGAAATGCCTCCATCCAAGGATGAAGACATGGATGGAGACACTTCTTCATGTCTCCATCCAGAGTTTGGATGGAGTCACTTCTCCATGTCTCCATATACTGGATGGAGGTGCCTCTGTGCACATCACTGATGCTTTGTTTTTTGCATTTTACTACCAACAGTTCTTTTCTTTTTCTCTTTTGTCTTTAATTTTTTGGAAGTCTTTCATTTCTCATTCCTTTTGAAATTTTTTAGTAGTTTCAATGATTTTGTTCTCATTTAAACAATGTATGCATAACACTTACCAGCAATATCAGGCTGCAAAGAAACTACAAAAAAGGGGATGAGGTATTGCTTGTAATGCTTTTGTCTTTTCTTTTCATCAATTGTGTTTATGGAAAGTGTTGTCCCATCAACAGAAGATCTGAAATTCTCTTCTGCTTCAAGTTTAATTCATGTATGTTGAATAAATTCTAAATAAATTCGGAAATCTCATGTTTGCCGATATATTACATATTGACATGTTTGAAAAGTTTGTTTTTTACACAATTGGTTCAATTTGAGGCTGGTTGTTCTACAAGCACTAATTGTGTTGTTTAATTTCGTTAGTTTTTACACCCCCAAGGTTTTCTGATTCACTCACCTGATAAACAATAGAGTTGATTGTGTGGTTTGTTGTTTTTTCATGCATAAGATCATAGGAAACATAATGTTTACTACTTTCGTTATATTTTGTCAGCAACAATTAATCTCTAATTGATAAAGATGCAAGTGGTGTGGACTATGGATTGAAGATACATTTTCACGTGTACCTCAAAGTGCTGGAATGTTTCAAGTTCTTTGTAGACGATTTTCTTTTGTGTTTAGCTGGTATATATACTAAGTTAGCCAATTTAACTAGAAGATCAAGAGCATAGGTCAATGCTTCCTAGGTATTTGTCATCTGAAAATAGTTAATTGTATGATGCAAACAATCTTTATGCGCTTGCTAAATGCAGGAGTTGTTGGTCTCTAAGTAGCAGTCATGAAGCCTGAAATTTATAGGGGCATTTTTCTCTTAAATATATCTCTTCGTATGCTGCACATAAAGAAGCAACCTGGTATGGGAGACCTCTTATTAAATCATTCCAGAGTTTGCTGAGGTGAGTTTGGTTCATTGGATTTTTAATTCTATCAAGTCTTAAATTTTTATTCACTGTTCGAGGATTTCATTGTCTGTGTGCGTTTCATTAGGAATACTAGTTTGGGAAAAATCTTCTTTAAAGCTGTAGCCACACCAGATTCATTAAAGAATTAGCTCTAATAGATATCCATGTGAAATCTCTCGAACGGATCTCCAATGTTTTGTTTACATAAAAAACATCAATGCATCCCTTTCTTATGAGGTCAGCTACTCCTTTCAAAAGTGAGAAACACCACTCATTATAGTGTAATCGTAATAATGATATCTATGTCTTGTTACAACTTACGACCAAGGATAATTTAAGATTCAATAATATATAATTGTGGAATACCCGGAACTTCACATCACATTTGGCTAATATGGTTCACGCATTTCATGCTATTTATAATGTCATTTACATCAAATTTTTTAATTACTTTCTCTTAAATTGATGCATTAGATTATTGAGGTTTTAAGACTTAGTATAATGTTAGCCATTTACTCCTCGATCTAGGTTGTGAATTTTATGTTGAGCTATGGTAGAGAAAAAAAAATGATTAATCTGGATGTTGGAGTTTAACTTGCTAAGCAATGATAATAATGTAAAGGCCGGAATTAGTATCGACAAAGTTGCAAGTTCTCCATTCGATTGATCAATGTAGCCTTAAACCCTAGATAGGTGA